CAGTATTCGTTAGTGAGATGCAAGTTCACCCAAGGAAGGACTTGGAGAAATGCAGCGTTTCCATTTTATATATGAATATATTCAAAAATATTTGAAGAAATGCAGCTTTGCTGTTGTGTTGAAATTGTATTTAATAATATCTGAGTGGAAAAAATATATATTTGAACATTTTACACCAAGTTTAATCTTTATAGCAAATAGAATAGAATAGAATTCAACTTTATTGTCATTGCACATGCACAGGTACAGGGCAACGAAATGCAGTTTGCATCCATCCAGAAGTGCTTGATATATAGATATATAGATATAGATATATTACAATATGTTATAATTAATTAATTGATTGATTGATTGGCGTTTAATTGGAATTTATGTTTAAAAGTTATGGGTTTAAATTCTTTTCTTTTTTTTTCCTGTTATAATATAAATTTGATTCGATTTGAATTTGATTTGACTGCAGAGCTGCAGTGAGGTGAAGGTGCAGTGGTGAGTTCTTACCTCTGGCCGTTCTTGGTGATGCTGAGTGTGTGATAGTGCAGCTGCTGTCGCTGACTAAAGAGTTTTTTGCAGTACAGTCGTACTTACATGGGGAAGTAAGCCCGACACACCCAACACACACATTCACACACACACACACACATTCACACGTGCATAACAGAGAGGCTGCACATGTTCCATCACTGTGTAACGAGAAAAAACAACTGATCATTTTCTCGTCTCCAACATTTATTTCTGGTTTATTAACCTTCTTATTTATTGTTTCCCAGGACGTCGCACGTTGTTGCCGCTACTGCCAATCAAATCTATTGCTTAAGCGCTCTATGGCCTGTAACGGGAAAAGGTTTCAAAACTCGTGCCAGTTGTAAACTAGTTGTAAATTTTTGCTATGCAATAAGGATATGGGGAAAGACCCACTTGCACTGGCCTCTTGCTGAGTTATGACAATTTCTTGTCTCAAATATAAGTAAAATAAAAGGAAAATACAAGAGAAAAACAGGAACTCAGGTGCCCCTCCCTGTAGATAGTGAGGTTTCATACTATATATCTTCTCTTGCAGCTGCTGTTGGCTTGGGTGTGCAGGCCGCACTTACATTGTTCACACATAACCACTGCGCATGAAACCCTTCAACAAACCCCCCACCATGCACCAGTGGGCCCCCAACCACATGCCACGAGGCAGACATCACTGCTGAAGCTGTGACCCTTTTCAAACCATAAACACACAAACACAAGAGGCGCCCTGCAAGAAGCAGAAAACAGTGGCAGACCCCAAAATTAAGAAACCAAATTTCAGATATGAGCAAAACGTCGCTCGTGGCCGAACGCGAGCGACGTTTTCAAAGAGCTGCTGTTACACATTTAATGCTCCAGCCAAGCAGGCTGTAAATGTGCTGCTGCACTGTAATTATCAAAAAGTCAAATGACACCAATCATACTAGCGCCCAATTATTCTTATAAGCACATATCTCTTCATTCTCGCCGTCGCCTGCGTCTGCACGAATTATTCCAGTTTGCACGGTTTCTTTAACAAACGGCGAGACAAAGTCGCCCATGCATATATGTTTGACCTACATTGTGTGTGCTGTAATTAACTACATCATTTCTGTGCTGTCCCCCTGCGAGACCAACACAACTTCTCCTTTTTTAGTGTTGAAGACACGTCCTCCATCATGGTCGACTTGTGTTACTCTGTAAAGATCTAAAGGTGGTGGCGAAACTGTTATTGTGAATAAACTGAGGAAAAAGAAAAACACCCGGAAAATGTACAACAAGCTACAACATCCTGAGGTGTCAACAACACCCACGACTGTTGAAAACGCCCTTACTCTGAAAATACAACTTCAAAGCACTCCATAACCACAATGTGCGTATTTGGCCACAACTGCATGAGTGTGTGTTTTTTCTTCTTCACTGATAAGCAGTCCAGCTCTGCAGGTCTCCACTTCAAGGGATTTCAACAAAAGTGCGTCCTCAACTATGACCAGCGATATTACTGCGTTTATGACAGCCACCAAATTAGTGCCAAGCATCTTTTAAATGTGTGTGTACTGCCTGTGCAGCAGACTCAGGCCTGCAGAGGAAAACCTATACCAGCATGCAAACCAAAGCTACGGTGAAAATGCACGAATGCAGAGGAGAGCAGCTGATGGCACACCAATAGGGAATCAGTTATTCTAAAGAACAAGTCACCATGTTGCTACAATATCGTACTCACGAAATTTGTTCTTGCCAGGTCTTTGTTTACGCATTTCAGACTTCCTCTCTTTCTTCATGAGAAAATATAATCGACAGTGAGCACTTTCATGCCTTGAACACTTTGCAGAGTTTCCACAAAGTCCTGAAGGCCTGTTTTGGTGAACTTTTGTGCATTTTTCAAGTTTTCTGTTGAAATTAACACAAATGTGATGTTGTGCACTTTGGCTTGTTTTTTTGTTGTTTTTTTCCTGCTGTGGTTAACCAATGAAAGATTAAAAAACCCAGAAAATTGCTGTTGTGCCAGTTTTTACATCAGATTATTGACTGTTTTCACCACAGCCGGTGTCACTGACATCACTAACCTTTGATGAGTGATACGAGTGATTGAAAACACCTACGCTCTCTTCGCTGATGGCGTAATCACACGTGAAGCATTCTTAAAAGCAAAGTAGTGATAACAGCAGTATTCGTTAGTGAGATGCAAGTTCACCCAAGGAAGGACTTGGAGAAATGCAGCGTTTCCATTTTATTTAAGTCCAAGTTCTTTTGACAGAAACTGACAGCAGAAAAGTCGTTTATGGAGTCGCTGCACAAAGGAAGACAGACTGCTCCACACAGACGCTGTGAAAGATGTTTCTCTAACCGGCTGACGTCACCTGCTGATTTGAGAACACCTGTTATGAAAGCTCGAGCTGAACGTTTTACCATCAACATTTCGGTATTTCTAAAGTGGACCTGATGAGGAAGCCTGTGAAATCAGTGATGACACTCCATGCTTATTGGCTAACAACTTCTAATCAACAAGTCACAGCTGATGGACGAAGCCTTGACAGTCGCCCTTAATTTATAACCAGAATATAAAAACTTATATTCACTGTTACCTGAAACTAGTGACAGAGTCCAGCAACATCAGGTTTATCGAAGTCACGGGTGGAGGGGTGGGGGCTCCCATCGATTCCTGTACAACTACTAATCTTTTTGCAACCAGTCGCTCCCCTGCTGACCATTTAATAGAAGGCAGGTGAAACGGGTCCACACAGGAAGAGATCCACAGTGACGTGACCACCAGACACTATAGTGAGTCGATGACACTCTAAAGCTAAAATAAGCACCTGTGATACAAACTGGGCAGGTTCCAGGTTAAGTGGATGGACAGTCTGTTGGGTGGACGTAGCTGTTTATGTCACCCATCTTATTAAAATGGTAAATGACCTGTATTTATATAGCGCTTTACTAGTCCCTAAGGACCCCAAAGCGCTTCACACATCCAGTCATCCACACATTCACACACTGGTGATGGCAGCTACATTGTAGCCACAGCCACCCTGGGGCGCACTGACAGAGGCGAGGCTGCTGGACGCTGGCGCCACCGGGCCCTCTGACCACCACCAGTAGGCAACGGGTGAAGTGTCTTGCCCAAGGACACAACGACCGAGACTGTCCAAGCCAGGGCTCGAACTGGCAACCTTCCGATTACAAGACGAACTCCCAACTCTTGAACCACGATCGCCCCAAAGTCCTGATTTGACCCTGATATTTGCTTCATCACCCTTTTGGCTGTAAAAAAAAAAAGGAGGGGCCCATTTCTTTATATTTTCCTAGGAAATAATAAAACCTGTTCTTTTATAGCAGTTTTCTACTCATCTGAGCACTCACAGCACAACTTGTTCATTCACCCATTTGGACTTTTTCCTAACTAACCTTCACACATCATTCATACTACGATGGATATTTGGCAGGTAGACTGGAGCAGACTAGGATCAGACCACCAGCAGTAGGTGAGCTGATCTACCACCTGAGCTACAGCCACCCCACAATGAGAAACAGGTGCAAAAATACATGGAAATGCAGTGTATGAGGCAAAAATATAGTGTGAACACTTCGACTGATCTTGAAAGTCAGTGAATTGGGTCAACTGAAGGCCTAGATGCACGTCTCAGGTCTTTTTCATACTGCCTTAGAACACAACTCTCATGTGCTGTTTTCTGCCTCTGTAAAGCACTTTGTGATTTTATCTTGAAAGGTGCTACATAAATACTTTTTTACTTTACTTTATCTGCTGTTGATCGTTTTTAGGGCTGACACCTCTACTTTTGTTCTCCACTTGTCCTGTTTCCTCAGTTTCTGCATCAACATGTCCCGAGTTTTCAAACAGCTGATTGGGAATCACCTTGTTGGTGCAAAAATACCATTTTGCGCCTGTCAGACTGTTTTGGCATTTTGCATAGATTCAGCCAGAGAAATGGAGACACATCATGTGTTTTTGCAATAAACAGTCTAAACATTTTAAAATGTGTTCTTTGCAAAGTTGTCTGTTATGTGCACTCACAACACTGATTTATCCCTTCAGTTAGGTATTCACAGATAGTCAGGTCCAAAGACTGTCTAAAGAAAACTTCTCCAGAAAGCTGAAGAGCACAAAATATAAAGACATTGGGTGGCTCAAGACATTTGCACATTAGTGTAATTCTGCATGCTCATTGTTTCCCAAAGGAAGCCTTCCATTTATGAAAACTGACAAAAAATGCTGCAATGACCCAAAATGAGCGACTGAATTCAGAGAGCTACTTTTCCATTGACTTCTACAAGTCGTTTGGCAACCACAGCTATCGCCATCTGGTGGTCAGATTAAATGCAGGTTTCAGGTTTTTTCTGACCCAGAAGGCACGTCTGTGTTTCTCCATGTTGTAAGTTCGGGGATGGACACTCGTGTCCCATCATCAACCAACAGTCTAATCAACTCCAGTCAAAGACTGTCATTATAAGGACTCCTCGTAATGACAAGCAGCTGGTTCTGAAGTCAGTGGCTGATCTGAAAACCAGCAACAAACACTGTTTCCCTTCATTGGCTTCCTG